ACGTGTCGGGATGCTCTGATCCTGAGCTTGTCATAGTGGAAAAGCCTGCAGATTTACACAGGATTATTACCAGAGCAAGGCTGGGAGTCAAGTGAGGAGTCTGGTGAAAAGAGATTATGAGCATGATGATTCAATACAGCCTCGGAGGGGCTGAGTCACCAAAGTGGACGGGGAGGTGATGGCCCCTCCCTGCTCTGAGCCCTTCTGTGCAGTGCTGGGAGTGTAATTAATCACTAACTGATAGTATAAATGGTAGGGGATGCAATGCAAGTAGTGGTAAATTAGAAAGAAGGAATTGGAAAATGTAGGCAAGAGTTGAGTTTTTGAGTCTGTTTCCTAAGCATTTAGTTTAGTCAAAAACTACAGAATCAGGTAAGCCTGATTGTTTCTAGAACGGCCTTGAATTTTTGCAAGGAGGTCCTTGTGGAGATTGTTTATTTAGTGCTAATGCAAATAGACACATTTAGCCAGAACAGATTATAAAGCGTTCATTTTTGCAGCTGATTGCTCAGCCCTCAACAGGGTGAGGGAGTGAGTGCAAATCGCACCCGGTTCGTGCTGCCCCAGCTGCAGAAATTCAGCTGTTGTTGACTTGGGCTTGTTATCCTGAAATATTGTTCTGCTATTTCTGTCCAGTGGTGACAACTGCGTAAAGCCTGGGGAAGGGGGAAAATGAGGGTAAGACCTCATACAGAAGACTTTGTAGATGTAAAGCTATCTGACAACCCTGTTTGTGGTTCAGAGAACATCTGTCCTGTTTTTTCCATTCTTTGGTGTAAGTTCATCCTGCAGTTTGTGAGCCCCAATTGTTCATTCAAGGCTGGGGTTCTTTTTGTTTGCTTTGTAGAGGAGCATAGCTTGTGATTTAGCTCTCAAAATTGTGAACCACCTTAGCTGAGTGTGGTCTCTGTGAAGCGGCAACTGAGACTGCTCTTTGCCTGTCAGTTTCTCTATTCATTGAATAAACTGGGTAAGTGGAAGCAAAAAGGTGTTTAGAAGAGAAGAGATTCAGTTAGTGGATATAGAGATATGTTTTGGAAGACAAGGGTCCACACTATAAACAGTTGGAGGATCATTTCAGTGTTATGCGAAGGCAAAACAAACTGAACAAAGATTACTCAGGTGTGTTGAACCGTTTACGTTTCATCTGCACTTGAGTCATGATCATGTGAATATCGTAGCAGTGACACAGCCAAAATCATATCAGAGATGTTGTATCGCCTTAATGTGTTAATTAGATTATCCCAATGCAGGCAAAACTTGTTAAGCCACCTAGGCTTGGCCTCTGTGGGGAATCTGGCTTTAAATGATTAAGATAAGGGAAAATAAATTAAAAAGTGGGTTTTGTGCTTTCCAGTTTGCTGCAGTTTTACATGTTGTAAATCCATATTTTAAAATCTCCTGTTTTAACTTTAACAAGTGGCAGTACTCTCTCAAGTTGCTATGTGAGACTTACTAAAATAGTTTACTTTTGAATTATTGCTTAACCTATCTTGACATAATTAATAGTTCTTTAAATTGTGGTGGGAAGAGCGAGGTGCTGACCACCACTGCGGCGGGCACAGGCTGGGGACAGGATGATGTGCTTGAGAGGTGCTCCCCGCAGGGTTGTGATGTTTTAGAAGCCCTTGCAGGTTGCCAGCAGGCTAAATTAGATTCAGACAATTTCAGTTTTATAAGGAAACAGGATTACTCTTTTCATCTGCTTGCCTACACTTGTGAAAATACAAGAACTTTTTACTCCAGTGCATTTTTAGTGAGTGCTGATCTCCCCACAGCTTCTCTGTTCTGCTTTGCTTTGTCACCTGTTTCAGTCTAAGGCCAGCCCTACTCTTCCTTCTCACAGGTGCTGTCTCCTCATTTGCAAAAATAATTTTCATTCCTTTGGGTCTTTTTTATCTATCTGTTTATTTATTTATTTTTTCTATGTGGTGAAAATGAGAATCGGGCTAAGCATTCCTTGGAGAAATAATAAATATCTTTCCAAGAGAAAGAATATTTCCAAGAAATAATAAATATCTTTCCAGTACCTGAAGGGGCTACAAGAAAGCTGGGGAGGGGCTTTTCATAAGGGCAGTTAATGACAGAACAAGGGGAAATGGGTTTAAGCTGAAAGAGGGCAGGTTTAGATTAGATATTAGGAAGAAGTTCTTCACTGTGAGGGTGGTGAGACACTGGAACAGGTTGCCCAAGGAAGTTGTGGGTGCCCCCTCCCTGGAAGTGTTTAAGGCCAGGCTGGATGAGGCTTTGAGCAACCTGGTCTAGTGGAAGGTGTCCCTGCTGATGGCAGGGGGGTTGGAACTGGGTGATCTTTAAGGTCCCTTCCAACCCAAACCATTCTGTGATTCTAAGAATAGCTGTTGAAACCTGGATTTTTCATTTTAGATATTGAAGGTAATCTTTCTGTTGTTTATGGTCCTAAAAGATTTGTAGCACTTCCTTTGTCATTGCTGAGGACCTGAGAATTCAGTGTGGTACTTGGGTGGTTCATTTCCTGTGAGCAGCTCAGCTTGTCTGTGTTGGGAGCGTAAGGTGAATGTCAGTGCTGTGCTGGGACTGCAGTTCAAGCCTGAAAGGATTTCTTCAGCATTCGTGTGTTCTGCCTTCTAAGGTCTGCTTCCATGTGGAAAAATCAGTGTTACGTTTTATGGCATGGAGTCTGAGTTTATGAACTCCATGCACTGGAGCTGCCCTACACGCAGACAGCAAGGATTAGGTCCATGCTGCTCCCTGGTGCATCTGTTTCAGGGAGTGTGATGTTGAAACTGGAGCTGATGGGGAATGCAGCAACGCTTACTGATGGCTTTGCTTAAAATAGCTCTGGGCTGTGGGAATAATTCAATCCCAGTAGTGGCTGTGTCGCACCTTGCAGAGCAAGTCAGATTCACATGTCCACAAGATACTCTGTTGCACTTGGCTGTGGGGATGGGAGACCTGCTAGCTTGGTGCACAGTTCGCATCTGTCTCTTGTGTTTAGATAGCTTCTTGGCCTGACCTTGCAAGCTCGGCTTCAGTTTGGGTCTTAGTATTTTGGAAAATGCAGTGCAGCTAAATCTGCTGGACCCAAGCTGGTTCCTGTAGAACTGAGTCTGTGTCTAAGGCATTCTTCCAGCTCTCTCCTTTAGTACTTCTGTTCCTCCTCCCTCTCCTCTTTTCCCACCCGCCCCAAAGTATCAGATATGGAACTTGATAGTGCTATAAAAACTTTCAGATCTCACTAAAAGTTGCTAGCTCAAATTAATTTGCAGTGGATCTAAAAGTAGAAATTAATCTACATGAAAACTACATTAATGAAATGGATTTTTTGTTCTTTTGTTACCTAATGACTCATACTTAAAGACTCAGTTTATGTTTCATTATCGTATGTAACTTTTGCAAAGTAGACTGAAACAATTAAAATAGAACTGTGGATCTTGATGTTTGAATCTTTACAGATTGAAGAAGGTGTTATGGTGATGGAAGATGATTCTCCTGAGGAGGCTGTTAGTACCCCAAATACCCCTCGCAACCTTGCCGCGTGGAAAATTAGCATCCCATATGTAGATTTTTTTGACGATCCCTCCTTGGAAAGAAAAGACAGAAAGGAGAGAATTCCTGTGTTCTGCATTGACGTAGAGAGAAATGATAGAAGGGCAGGTATGCCATGTTGTGGATAAATAAAATGTCATTTAAAAATGAACTCAAAATATCCTAGTGTGCTGTATTCTGATGGCTGATCCAGTGTATTTTGCGTGCATGTTCTTCTGATTTTGAAGTAATGACTTGAAAATTCTGAAGAAATGTGTTTTGAGAGTTAAATGATCACATTTAGTGTTTGCAAGTTTGAGAACTGACTCCTGAGCACAAATTGGTTCTATTCAGACTTAATGCCAAAATTTGAGATTTTCTCTTTCCAAAAATATTGATCCTACTATTCATATTAATAAACACCTGGCATATTTTTCTTTCACCCGCTCTGAACTTTGGTATAATGAACAATAAATAACTTTTTATATAACATTAAAATACAGTTCTTAGGAAATGAAAATGTTTTGCGTATTGGGAGACATCCTGGCTTGCAGATAGTTTATCAGTATCTATTTGGCAATGCATCCATATTGAGTGGGGAAAATAGCATCATCCTGGGGCTGCATAGATTTTTGTTAGTGAACCACAATAACCAGAAAGCATTTAAGAGTTAGTGATATTTTCCAAGAGGAAGAATGGTCAGGATTCGAGCTGGTGGTGCAGAGGACTGTATTCAGCAACTAGTATTTCTGTAAATCATTTGGTTAGAAGTTTGAAAATAGATGTAACATAGTCAGCCCTAATAAATGTTGGAGTTGTGCAGTGCTCCATTGTTTAGATTTTAGAGATCCCCCAAATGAGATGATAATTTCCATGCTAGTATCATGTCTGTCTGCCAGGTGTGTGTTTTAATTTAACGCTTTCAATTACTTAGCTGGGACTATTTTTTTTAATGTTACTGCAATATGGGGGATTAATACCATTGAAATTTTTCCTATAATAATCCAGCATGTGTTTGCAGTTGCTCAGTTTGTCTCTCAAGTAGCATAAAACCTGGTTTATCTTTAATTTTTTTTTCCCCCCCTAGTTGGGCATGAACCTGAACACTGGTCCGTCTACAGGAGGTATCTTGAATTTTATGTGCTTGAGTCGAAGCTAACAGAATTTCACGGTATGTTCTCCACCATCTGGAAAGACGTTTTCCCAGTGCTGTGATTATCATTTGGTACTGAGCTGAAATTTAAAATAATTAAATCGGTGTTTGCTGCATTACAAGAATAATTTAATCTCCTTGATATTTTTATTAGGTACGTTTCCTGATGCTCAGCTTCCCTCAAAGAGAATCATTGGCCCCAAGAACTACGAGTTCTTAAAATCCAAGAGAGAGGAGTTTCAGGAATATCTGCAGGTATCTAACAAACTTTTGGAGCAAAGAATGTTCTAAAACTAATGATACAAAACTAATTAAAGAATATCTGCCTTTTTTTTGTTTTCAAGTAGCTTGAGTTATAGAAAGGGTTCAAGTGGGCAAATAAAACTTGTTAAATTTTCGTGTAACTGAAGACAGGAATCTTTTGCAAATGACAGTATCTGTGGTAATACAATGCTCTTTGAATCTGTCTTTACTGTAGAGAAACTGATTTTTAAAGATTAAAGTACTTCTTTCTTTCCTTCTGTCTCAAAGAAACTTCTGCAACATCCAGAACTAAGTAACAGTCAGCTTTTAGCTGACTTCCTGTCCCCTAACGGAGGAGAGACTCAGTTTCTTGATAAAATGTTGCCTGATGTGAATCTTGGTAGGTAATATGCTGGGTTTTTATGCTGACAAATAGTAATACTGTAGGTACTGTGATTGAATGATAGTAGTAATGAAGAGATAACTCTTGTGTAAGGATATGGATGTGAGAAGTAAGAACTCTGCTTCTTCGCAGCCCTCAAAATTACAGCTCAGCAAGCGAGGTATGCTGATACTATCTCCTTTAGGAAAAAGGACAATTTCAGATTATGGGGAAAAAGTGTTTAAGTGATTGCTTTTGAATATTCATTTCAGCAATGAGGTGATAAGATTTGTCTAACAGATTTCATAGTTAAAGATGATGTACAGTATTGTCACAAGTCAACTCTGCACAAGTCGTTGTACAGGTGTGATGGTCTAAACAGTTTCTTAATATAAATTGCCTTTGGGTGTTAGTTGATGAAAATCTGTTCATTTTAATCTGAAAACGGCAATATTTAATATTTATAGTATTAGCTTAGATCTCTTTTAACATGTGCTACTTAATAGAATTTGAGGCAGTGGTGTGTGTGTGATATAGGCAGGCCAAATGGAAATCGAGAAGTTGAGAAATTCTTGCTGTCTAATGTAGTAGTTGAAAATAAATCCAAAAAGTAGACTGCAGTGTGGCTTTACAGCTTAGCTGCAATGTAGCTGTCTTGGGATAGTGGGCCTGAGCTGGTAAGGTCAACCTCATGGCCACTCTGTCTTTGTGTATTGTAGCACTTGTGGTTCTGGCACCAGCATGGTGCAGGAGAGCCGTGTCTGAACTGTGACACTGCATTTCTGCTTTTCCCAGTCATGGGGTGACCCTGCTGAGGTAGCTGTTCTCTTAGTGTGCTTACTAAGCTGTTGAATGAGATTTCAGTGGTCATCCTCCAGTTAAAGGGTTTTTGTCTGGTTTCAAACCTCCCCTCTAGACCAAACTGTGTTGTTTAAAAAAAAACCTTATAACTGTGGTGTTTCCTGCAATGCATCTCTTGTCTGAGACTGTGCTGCACTTCCATAAACACCATTTTAACAAGTCTTGGCATTTCAGTAGGGCTTTTTATGAGAATGAGAAATTTGATCATTGTACATACTTTTTGATTTCCAAATTTAATGACATACAGATAAGAAAAATATTACTGTAAATGCTGATATCGGTATCAGTGCTTAAAATAAAACTGATCCTAGACACTTCTCAGCATTCACAGTTACTGTGCTGTATCCCGATAGCCTTAACAGGACAGAAGAGATTATTTTTAAGACCACAGCTGTATCCTGTCCAGTTTGTACAACCTTACTCACCAGCATTTTCAAGACCAGCATCTCTCAAGATTAGCTGATATTT